GATAACTCTATCCGTTTATGGGATGTTTAGACAGGATAAGAAAAAGCCAAATTAGATGGTCATTCTGATTTTGTAAGGACAATTTGTTACTCTCCTGATGGCACTACATTAGCATCTGGTAGTGAGGATAACTCTATCCGTTTATGGGATGTTAAGACAGGATAATAAAAAGCCAAATTAGATGGACATTCATCAACTGTTAATTCAGTCAATTTCTCCCCTGATGGAAATACATTAGCTTCAGGTGGTTGGGATAACTCTCTTCGTTCCTGGAATATAAAAACATCAAAGGAAATACTTAAATCAGATAGCAGTTATGAAGATTTACATGCCTAGTTTAACATACCACTTCAGAATAGCTCCTTATTGCCAAATGGTATTTATTATTAATTATTATTTAGCTAATCCTGATTGTACAATACTAAGAATATGCTAGAATCCTAATTTAGAAGCATCAGGAACACTTATCTTATAAGGACAATTCGTGAATTATTAAGGGATAGATTTAAAACCATTGTTTAAAACAAAAGGAAGTTGCTTTTTAGAAGAAAAGTGAATTTGAATATTCATCAAAAACATACAATATATAATTTAATCATTTTCTTAGAACTTTTTGCATATAATGTGTTTTTTGTTACTCTTTAAATATTTGGATAATATTGAGATGTTAGAAAAAACGTTTATAAATTCATATTTATAGACGAACAATACACTATTAAATTTATAATATAAACAGAGTAAACAGGTTTAGTCTTAAAAATGATAATTAATAGTTTAATATAATTTAGATTTTTAGTTTTTATAAAAAAGGTAATGATACAATTAAAAAGAAAGTCAAGAATTAAAAAAATATCCTTAATTTTAAAATAATCTTAAATGAAACAAAGTTAAAACATTGGGATTGAATGATTTTTAAAATTACTCTACTCTAACCTTGGTAATATTTCAACAACAGCTATTTATTATTTTCAATTGATATTAAAATTATTAGATATAATAAAGACTGAAAAGATATATTAATCATCATTAAGTATTCTAACCCCTAATAGATTTAGAGATCATAATTATCTCCATCCTGACAATAATCTTAAATAAGCTCTATATGAATTAAATCCAAAGGAGCTACTTTCAATAATAATTTTACATTTAAGTAACAGTTATTAATCATTAAGGTAAAAACTTTGTAATCTTACCTCAAATAGATTTTTTTTAGAAATTAATTAATATCTACACAACTATAATATAAGTCAACTAATTCAATTTTATTAATTGTGTATAAAATTACAAAATTACCCTTGATTTCATTGAGAATAGTAAAAAAATAACAAATTGTTCATCTACAACTATAAATTTAACCCAATTAAACAATAAATTTTTAAAATTAACTAAATTTATTGATATTACATAAATGTAGTATTATCTCTTAATAAGGTTTAATGTTATGGCACAAACAGTAAGAGAGATAGAACAGTTTGTATAACAAAAAGGATATGATTCTATTTGAAATAACCTTTTTTATATCGGTGAAGAATTATTTTAATATCCTGTTTTGACAGGGTAGAAATGTTATCTTCAAATAATTGTTATAAGGATAACCCTTCAACTATTTAAAATAGTGTTCTTCCAGAAAGTGGTATTACTTTTCAGTATTCTTAGCTCTCAATTATCCCACCATTCTAAAAATTTCCTAAAATCCCAATTTCAAAGCTTAAGGAGCTCTAGCCTTGAAAGGATTGTTTTTTGATTATAGATGATATGATTTACGATCATTATTTAAATCTAAATTAGTTAGATTTTGGTAAAAGAATTAAAATAGAAACAAAATTGAGCTTTATTTAAAGGCATTTAATAAACAACACCAATTTAATATTATTGTATTTTTGTTAGTAGAAAATTAGATATTTGATTTTCAGAAAACCTTAAATATATACATTATTATCAACTATTATTTTGATTGTTATTTTAATCTGCCAAAAGTACATCTGATTTTTTTTTGGAATACATTCCTTCTCTTAAAATGGAAAAATTAAAACATTTAATATTTATTGAGAAATGCTGCCATTCCTCACATTAATTTGTTTTAAAGAATAATTTTGTACCTAAATAAATTATCATGTTGAATTTTGAATCAATCAAAAAAAAATAAGGGGATCAAATTTTCCCTAGTTAGCACTCCTTGGATTTTTTGCCTTTGCGTAGTGCTGGTCAAGAGGGAACAGCAAAAACCAACCTATATATTTGGGATATAGCAAAAGTAAGAACTAGTCAAGCAAAACAGTTGGGTTCCACTAATTTTATTATAAATAGAGTAGACGTAGTATCCAAAACCATTTACCTAGCAACAGGCAGAACGAGTCAAGCAAAACAGTCTGGCTTCTACGAAGGTCTTCCGCCAGGGATTTTTTGCCTTCACGTATAAACGGTAGAAATTTTACTATAAGAAAGTATAGTTAAATTTCTACAAGTTTATAGTCGAACTTTTAACCAAAGCCTGAAACTAATTAGTACAGTTTTAACTACTAATTTAATTAAGGGATAAAAAATGTTGATAAACAATAATGAAAGAAGAATGAGAGAATTTTGATTGTATTTTTGCTTGAATATTATTTAAAATAATAATATCAGAATATCTAAAAATTTAATATCTATTCTACAAATTAACCTCCTTTCTTTATAAAAAGTTGATGGAAATCAATATTAGATTAGGTTGTAAATTCCCCTTTAAAAATCAATGCTCCATGGGCTAACAGTTTATGAGACCCCTTACCTAATATGAAAATAGTGCGTGATTCAACTAAAGATAAAAATAACATTATACTCATCTCATCAAAATTAATTAACGATTTGTTTTAAAGGGAATCCTTAAATGAGATCTCTTGTTAAACAACACCCCCAATTAATTCTCTGCTAGTTAGATCCCAATAACGGATGGAATGGTCCTCACTTAAAGCTCCTAAAATACTACCATTAGAAGAGAACCCGATTCTTAAAATTCCATTAGTGTGACCATTTAATTTAGCTTTTTATTATCCTGTCTCAACATCCCATAAATAGATAGAATTATCCACACTACCAGATGCTAATATAGTACCGTCAGGAGAAAAACATAGAGACCAAACTTTACCACAACGATTCTCTAATTTTGCTTTTTATTCTCCTGTCTTAAGATCCCATAAATGAATAAACTTATCATACAAACCAGATGCTAATGTAGTGCCATCAGGAGAAAGGTATACAAATTTGACCATCTAGGTATTAATTAATTTTTCTAATTTTTGTTCTACAGGCTCAACATCCCAAATACGAATAGTTTTATCCTCACTACCTGATGCTAATAGACTATTAATAGGAGAGAAACAGACTGACATAACTCCACCAAGGTGACCTTTTAATTGTTTCTTTAATTTTAAAGTTTAAGCATCGTATAAATGAATAGATTTATCTAAACCACCCGAAGCTAATATTTTCCCATTTGAAGAGAAACACCCTGACCTTACTTAATTTTAACTGTTTACTTTGGCTATTAGTTTATCTTTTTTAATATCCCATAAGCATATATATTTATCAGCACTACCAGATGCTAATTTAGCACCATCTGGAGAGAAGCATACAAAAAAGACCCAACTCTAATGACATATTAACTTAGTTTTGACTATTTTACTAATAAAATCCCACAAAATTATGGTCCCATCTGCACCACCAGATGCTAATGTTAAGCCATCTTGAGAAAAACTTAACGATAAAACAAACAAGTTATGTCCAATTAACTGTCTATTTTCTCCAGTCTTCAAATCCCATAATCTGATGATGAAATCATAACTTCCAGACGCTAAAGTAATTTTATTAGGTGAAATGCAGAGTGATGCTACATTATTACATTCTATTTTGTGTTATTCTAATCCGCTCTCAAGATCCCAAAATCTAATTGTGTTATCTTTACTCCCAGATGCCAAAGTTTCATTCGAGCAAAAGCATAAAGCCTAAACCTATGAACTATGTCCAATTAATTAACCAATTTATTCTCCACTAAAAATATTCCATATATAGATAAAGCAATCTTCACCACCAGATGCTAAATATCGCCCGCAATCAGAGAAGCAAATTGAAAAGATAGGTCGGATATGACCATCTGGAAAATTTTATTCATTAACTTTCATATTTTTCCATTTACAATTAAATAATTGGGAGCCATGTAACTTCATTCCACTTATATCAACATTATCAAATTCAGATCCACTCAAATTACATCCTGACATATTAGCGCCAATTAAACTTGTATCTTTAATCTTTATATTCCCAAAAAATTATTATTGGAGATTTGCCTTCATTTCTACTAATAAGTTTAGTGAATTGGATCCACATTAGATAAATCTGGAATCAAAGGCTGTTAGCTGTACTAAAAATATCAAAAAATCTGTGATATTTGGTATGAAGATGAGGGATTTTCGAGTTGCCGCGTATTCTACAGTCGAGTAATTTTTTTAATTAAAATCACTTACCATAACCATTTTTAAAACTTGACACAAATCTATTAACATTGGATCATTACATTTCTTTAGAACCTTAGAAAGTTTCTTTTTTTTTAGCAAAGTAAACATTTGGTTATAAAAATATTGCTTAAATTAAAATGCTTAATACAAGATTTTATCAATACTATACTTCTATTATTTTTCCTATCTCATTTGTTCGGCCTCATTAACACTTTGCCGCACTAAATTTGAAATGTCTTACTAAAACTAATCAAGATTATATATCTTTTTAATTAGCATGATAAATTCATCAATTATTCGTTATGTACTTACTAAAAATAAATGTCTTAACACTTACAAAAATTCCTCTGTTATGTTATTCTAAAAGGAGAACTCTTTTTATATTACTTATAACATTTATGAGAGGATTTTGATATAATAATCCTAATTATCACAAAAAAATTGCAACTGGGAAACTATCTTCAAAAAATAATCATCTGAATTAGTTTTTAAACATTTTCTTTTATATTCATCACTGATAGAGAATTATCCTATTTTTTTTATTATATAATTTATTCTTATTGAATAAAAAGAAGCAATTTAAAGTAGTTTTGGAAGAAAATCTTCTCTAATCCTTGTGTCCCAATATTCTTATCGCATTGCTCTATCTAAAGCCATCGAAAAATTATTCTCAACTTATTAGATCATAACTGTATATTTTTACCCATCATAAGTTAGATTTGATATTTGAAATTCAAATTAAGGAAATAAAAGTACCTCCTCCTCAGAAGGAATTTATGAGTGATATTCCTCAAGTTTAAAACAAGGGTGAGGATTAGATTAAGCCAAGGAAATTTCAAATAAAATTCTAAATTCATGTCTCAAAAAATGATATGCTGCACTTTATTTCATTGTAGTACTTGTTAGAGAGTTCCAAAATATACTTTTGTTGTTTTGATAACAATAAGTAAGTTCTTGTATGATTTTTTCAAAAATTTACTTTTGAGATTTATTAAAACTTATTCCTCTATATAATGTATTTTAATTTTATATCCTAAAATTGAGATTAGAATAACCATCAAATATTGTGCACATGATTTATTCCAATTCTTCATATTTTTATTAGGCAAGTTTCTGATTCAACACCTTATAAAAAGAAATTGGTTAGTCTTCCCTTGAGTAATAGTATATTAATTTTTCAAAATTAGTGAATTTCTAATTTTTTTGAGCCATTTTCAAATCTTCTTATCTTTTTACACTTTGTAGAAAAGTGGTTAATAGGCCTTATGATGTTAGTTTTCCAATTTCTAAATTTAGTAATTCCTCATCGGCATCGTAGTTGTATTATAATTATTAATTTATCAATAGAAACCTAATACTTATTTCCTAAAATTAATGATTATATTCTTCTTAATTGTTAATTTTTTAAATAAACTATAAGTTTAAGGACTATTGAGCTTTGATGAATTCTATATTTTCCTTTACAAAATGTTCAACTTTCAGAATACCCTTATTCACAAGAACCAATAGATGATTTGATTCTAAAAATTTAAGGAAATTAGCCTAAATATTTCCACAAAACACAATCTAATGAGAGTTTAAAGATTTGCTTGGAGATTCATAAATTTAACTGCCAGAAACAATTACAACTAAATAATCTCCCCTATGCTGATTTTGTACAATTTGCAAAGCATCAATAGCTGAATCAATGAAGCTACAGTCATTAATTATAGATTTTAATCTTTACTAATACCTTTAGTTCTCACTATTGTTAATTTTGCTGTCAACCCATACTAATTTAATCATTTATACAATTTTTATTCAGTCAATTAATTTTTATATTATTATTATTTTTGAATCAACATTTGCTTTAATATTAANTAAAAAGAAGCAATTTAAAGTAGTTTTGGAAGAAAATCTTCTCTAATCCTTGTGTCCCAATATTCTTATCGCATTGCTCTATCTAAAGCCATCGAAAAATTATTCTCAACTTATTAGATCATAACTGTATATTTTTACCCATCATAAGTTAGATTTGATATTTGAAATTCAAATTAAGGAAATAAAAGTACCTCCTCCTCAGAAGGAATTTATGAGTGATATTCCTCAAGTTTAAAACAAGGGTGAGGATTAGATTAAGCCAAGGAAATTTCAAATAAAATTCTAAATTCATGTCTCAAAAAATGATATGCTGCACTTTATTTCATTGTAGTACTTGTTAGAGAGTTCCAAAATATACTTTTGTTGTTTTGATAACAATAAGTAAGTTCTTGTATGATTTTTTCAAAAATTTACTTTTGAGATTTATTAAAACTTATTCCTCTATATAATGTATTTTAATTTTATATCCTAAAATTGAGATTAGAATAACCATCAAATATTGTGCACATGATTTATTCCAATTCTTCATATTTTTATTAGGCAAGTTTCTGATTCAACACCTTATAAAAAGAAATTGGTTAGTCTTCCCTTGAGTAATAGTATATTAATTTTTCAAAATTAGTGAATTTCTAATTTTTTTGAGCCATTTTCAAATCTTCTTATCTTTTTACACTTTGTAGAAAAGTGGTTAATAGGCCTTATGATGTTAGTTTTCCAATTTCTAAATTTAGTAATTCCTCATCGGCATCGTAGTTGTATTATAATTATTAATTTATCAATAGAAACCTAATACTTATTTCCTAAAATTAATGATTATATTCTTCTTAATTGTTAATTTTTTAAATAAACTATAAGTTTAAGGACTATTGAGCTTTGATGAATTCTATATTTTCCTTTACAAAATGTTCAACTTTCAGAATACCCTTATTCACAAGAACCAATAGATGATTTGATTCTAAAAATTTAAGGAAATTAGCCTAAATATTTCCACAAAACACAATCTAATGAGAGTTTAAAGATTTGCTTGGAGATTCATAAATTTAACTGCCAGAAACAATTACAACTAAATAATCTCCCCTATGCTGATTTTGTACAATTTGCAAAGCATCAATAGCTGAATCAATGAAGCTACAGTCATTAATTATAGATTTTAATCTTTACTAATACCTTTAGTTCTCACTATTGTTAATTTTGCTGTCAACCCATACTAATTTAATCATTTATACAATTTTTATTCAGTCAATTAATTTTTATATTATTATTATTTTTGAATCAACATTTGCTTTAATATTAAAACCATAAATAATATCTTTATTATTTAGCAATCTTTCCAGTTATTTATGATGTCTTGATTGTTATAGATATACCTCAATGGAAAAAACAAACAATAAAACATACTACCCTTTTGAATGATGACTTTGATGGCCAGCCCAAAGATTATTTGATCAAATTTAGCTATCATTTTCTAAAATTAATTCATTCATCATTTATTGATTTCTCATTGTTTGCCCAAATTGCTAGAGTCAGAGTATGGGCTAATATTTGAGATAAGACAAACATTATTAAAACTAAAACTAAAGAAGTTCTTGAGTTTAACTATTATTATATTACCAAAAAATAAAACCAATTAGGAAGGTTAAAAAACTACTATTCGTTTGGGATAATTGGTAGAAAATAGATCCTTATTCAATTATTCAAATATAGATTAACATTCTTATAGAAAATACAAGTATGTAGGTTTTTTATATTAAAATATCATAATAGATAATAATTTGTTTAATTGAAATTTGTTTGGGAAAATTTGATAAAGCATTTATTACTAAACAAAACAAACTTAGAATAGAAATATTATTTTATATTTAACACTTAATTAAATAGAATTTTACACTTTCAAAATAAAATCCAAATAATTAATTATAATATGTTGTTTTTTTAAGGTTTTTTTTTAGAATCATTCTAAAATTGAATTGTGATTGACAACAACATCAATAGCAAAAAAAGAAAGTTCCAAAAGTGAAATAATCTCCAATGATTGAAAGGTTTAGGTTTGTAGAGAATGTTTGGAAAAGTTTTTTTCAAGTACACTTAGTCCTTAAAGTTAAGGAAATGAGATAATGGATTGATTGAAGTATCAATTAAGTCTTTGAAATATTGATAATAAGCATTTCTTAAATAACTTTGTCTTGATCTTAAAGTAGTGATGAATAAAATTCTTCTATGGAGAGCAATATATGAAATTAATCTTGGATTCTAAAATGGAAACAATTAAACTGAGAATTTATGATTATAAGTGTATATTTTGATTGAGAACTTTTAAATAATGAGATTACGCAAATGATTAAAAATCTTATGTCATACAAATCCTCAATTTTTCACATTCCTAAAGTGAAACAAATATTGCTCAACTAAATTTATGTATATTTGGTAAGAAAATTTGTATTATTGTTGAATAGTTAAATTAATATTGGATTATAAAGGAGAGTGAAATTACAAAATTGATTGATTTATGTAATTTATTAAATACTATATTAATTTTTGTTCTTTAATGAGATGCACTTAACATCCATTAAATCAAATATCCTAGATATGTATTGCTCCTCATAAATGTAAAAGGAAAGTTTGTGTCTAATGCACGCTTGTAAACGAAGGAGAGTTACACCAAATAATGAATTTAGATGAATTTCGAGGATTGCTGCTCTAGAAATTACTCAAAGATAAATATCACCAGAATTCTGAATTAATAGTAGGGTAATAGGATTTGAAGATTTTACTTACTTAAACTGAAAATATGCTCAAAAAAATTTGGGAATAATTGAAGGAATCATTTAATTCAATATACAATTTGATTGAAAGATAAACTAATTACTATTTGACTAAAGTAAAAGAGAATATCAATCTAGCAGCGATGTCAGAAACTGATTTAGACAAATTAGTGAAAATATACAAAGGGAATGAAGAAAAAAATTCATATTTGACGAAGTTAGAAATGATAAAGAAATGGTGGGGGAATGAAATTAGGACTTTTAACGAAAAGTTGAAAAAAGAATTATAAGATAGATTTCAGACGCCAAGTCTTCAATTGGAAATATGGCAGGAAGCATCATATTAAAGGAAAGAAAATTTATGTTAGATTTTGGTTTCCGTAATGGGAATTGATGAATAAATATATGTTATGATAATTGGAATGTTAAAAAAGTAGAAAATTACTAATTCGCTAACCTTTCTTTCAGATAGTTGCAATAACACAAATTAAGAATAATAAAAAATAAAATTTATTACTAATGTTCTGAACAATATTTAGGAACTAGATTTTAATAAAAAACATTATTCTATCAAGGAATACATTGATATAAGGGATGAAATAATATTTAACGTATCAAATGAAGTAAAGATTATTAATTTTTTTAAATTTTTGGTTCACCTTACAGCTATAGATAACTAATTCATCAAATGTGGGTCTAATTCCCTCCATTTATTAGTTGAGATGAAGGTTGACTTAAGAGAACAAAACTTTGAGAATATCAAGATAAATGATACATCATTGATTGGAGCAAACTTTGCAAAATGCAATTTAAGTGGGTCTTAATTTAATAATGTTGATATTAGTGGAATGATTATCAATGGAGCATATTTGTTTAATTGTAAATGGAATAATTTGACAATACAGGAATTCTAGAATAAAAATGAGAATACTAGTTTTATCTATTCATTAAGTTTCTCTCCTGATGGTGCTACATTAGCATCCGGTAGTTAAGATAAATTTATCTGTTTATGGGATGTTAAAACAGGATAACAAAAAGCAAAATTAGATGGTCATACTAGCTATGTTAATTCAGTTAGAATTTCTCATAACGGCTCGACGTTAGCATCAGGTAGTGATGATAAATCAATCTGTTTATGGGATTTTTAGACAGAAAAATAAATAGCATAATTATTTGGTCATAGTTATGGTGTGACTACCGTATGCTACTCACCTGATGATAATCAATTAGCATCCGGTAGTGTTGATAACTCTATTCGCTTCTGGGATACTAGGACAGGAGAACAATAAGCATAATTAGATGGCCACATTGGTTATGTCTATTCAGTAGATTTCTCTCCTGATGGTACTACATTAGCATCTTGCAGTTATGATAACTCTATTCGCTTATGGGATTTGAAGACAAGGCGATAATAGACAATATTGGATGTGCATGGTGCTAGATTAAATTCAGTTTGCTTTTCACCTGATGGTTCAACATTAGCATCAGGCAGTGATGATAACTCTATTCGTTTATGGGACTTTAAGACAGGACAATTAAAAGCAAAATTAGATAGTCATACCTATGGTGTAACTACAGCATGCTACTCCTCTGATGGAACTACTTTAGCATCTAGTAGTTATGACAATACTATCAGTTTATGGGATGTTAAAACTAGAAAACTAAAAGTAATATTAGATGCTCATACATAAAGTGTCAATTCAGTATGCTTCTCACCTGATGGCAGTACATTAGCATCGGGTAGTTGTGATAGTTCTATTCGGTTATGGAATGTTAATGGATAAAATTGTAACCAAGTTAGATCAGTATGTTACTCACTTGATGGAAAAACAGTAAAAATGAGTGGTGTTGATAACTCCATTTCTTTGTGGGATTCTTTGACAGGAAGATTAATTGATCCATCAGAAAAAAGTTATACAGATATTATTGCTTTGTTTCAGAATGAAACCTAAAATAATCAATTTTCATAAGGTTTTATTTATTTTATTTTTTCAGTTAGTCCTTTTTATACGACGTAACTTATAGCTCAATTATTACACTTGGAAGCAACTAGCGCTCTAATCTTTAAGGGAGAATTTACAGATCATTAAGGGAATGATTTACGAAATTTATTTTTAGAACGAGGAGGAAAGTTTTTAGAGAGCCAAATTAAATTTTAATCGGAATATTGAATATTCACAATTCATCACATCTTAACCAATAAATTATTCATTACTTTTCTTCTTATTATTGCTTAGGATAGCTGATTTACTAAATTTGCATTTTTGTTTGAGCTTTTATAATATGTTGAGATTTATCTAAAAATAGTTCAGTAAATATTCTAATTTACAGAAATTGAAATTTTAATATTGTAAAATATAAAATAATTTGAATTCGAAATAACAATACAAAGAATTTCTTTAGAATCCTTGATTATAAAATCTAAATTGACCAATTTATATTGAGCAAAATTCTATAATACAATGAAAATGATATGGACTTTCAGATAATTTAGTTACTTTCTTTTTATCCTATTGATATTGATAACTGACTGAAAAATAGAATTCACTCATTTAAATTGTATATTTCTATTGAGTTATTCTAATATTGATGTTGTTTTTATAAGTCAACCTAAACTTCAATTTTGTGTCTAGATTTTTATACATACAACTGATTTGATATTTCTTATTTAAATTCGTTTATTCAGATATTTATGTTTAAATTAAGATAAATATTGTTGCTGAATTACTAAGAAAAGAAGGGTTTTTAATCTGACCTAATATCATTTCATGATAATTTAGCATTAAAATGTTGGGTCTAAATTCTTGTTTTTGGGAGAGTTAAATCCACAAGAATCTATCCTTAGTGTGAAACATTAGAAATAATTTAACATATCAGCACAAGTATATGCTTAAATCAATAAGATTATTTTATATTTATTTTGAAGTTATTCTAAATGAATATTACATCACTAAATTATACTATTTTTCCTTTTATTTGCTATTTCTAAACTATTAGCTCTTTGAATACTTCTATGGCAGCAATGAGAAATACTCTCGATCTTCGCTCAAATACACAATAAACAGTCACTTTAGAAATATCTACCACAGTAACAGTATAATTTAGTTCTAAAGTATACGTTCTCTAAATCAAAGAAAAACCCAGAATTAGGTCATCCAATAACACTCCTAAATCATTCATACTTTAAACTAAATTGCTATTCATATTTTATTTTAATTCTCCATTGTAAGCGTGTTGATTAATAATAATAAGGAAGTTTCATTAGAGTTGCCTCTGTTTGCTTAGTCAAATAGAATTCCAACCTGAAAGTTCAGATCTAATATCTTTTATACTAAATGTTTTGGTCTAACTGCAAATACAATTTTTAAAGATTTGAAGAGTTTTTGTGTTGTGCATCTAACAAAAATAATTTTAATGAGTACCATATTGCTCTTTATTTGCAATTCTTAATTTATTATATTTTTATCTAAATAATTGTGGTATGTTAAAAATGAAATAAATTTAGTAATGAATCCATTTTAGTTGAGGATTTAATTGCATAATTTCTTAATTTAAGCAATTACATTATATCTTTAATGTTTTTTATTTAGGAGATGCAATTTTATTTTATTGAATAATAAAATTAATGAGTGATTAAATCATAATTAAGAGAAGGAAAGGAGAATATATAGAATAGGAAGGATAAGTCATCAATGTTTAATTAAATTCAGCAAGCCTGACTATTTTGAATCTTAAAAAGGAGATTGCTAAAATAAGTATAAATTAATTTTATTAAGCCAAAATCAAGCCAATAAGGCAATGGTTGACAACAGAGGATAAATAAAAAGTATTTGAGGATAATGAGCTACCATTGAATCTTTCAGGAATTAAAAATAGTCAGACATTAGTAGTGAAAGATTTGGGACCTTAAATGCTCTGGGGTGCAGTATTCTACATTGAATACCTAGGGCCAATTTTAATGTTCTTTCTACTTTATAAGCTAGGTAACTAAGAGAATTACACACTTATGCAAAAGTATATATTCTCAAAATAATATATTCTAGAATAGCTTATTTGATGGTGATTTTGCACTTCCTCAAAAGAATATTAGAAACAAAATTTGTTCATGTCTTCAGTAGAGATTCTATGCCATTAAAAAGGGCCTTAATTAATTGTTTGCATTATTGGATATTTTGTGGATTTTTTATTGGAATTGAATTGTTCTATTTAAGAAGCTTTGAAAAGCGTTAATCTTGGAAATTTATTTTTGTTGCATTTTTTGGTTTGTTTGAATTTTTGAATTTAATGTGTCACATTAGGCTCTCAAGTTTTAGAAAGAAACCTGAATTAAAGTAAAGTGATGCCGATTACGTTGCTTAAAACAAACAAAGATAAATTCCATACGGTTGGGGTTTCGGAGCAGTTTCATCTGCTAATTATTTCTGGGAAACAATGGCTTGGGTTAGTTTTTCGTTCTTTACTTGTTCATATGCAGGTATTTATAGTTATAATGAATAGCTATTGCATTTACAATATTTTCTTTTGGTTAGATGCTTATTTGGGCAAAATAAAAACATAGACGATACATCAAGGAGTTTGGAGATAGATACCCAAGAAACAGAAAAGCGATGGTGCCTTACATTATCTGATGAAATAATATAAGTCATTAATTTAATAAATATATTATAGATTTGCACCTTATTGGCAATTAAAAATTAATAAAACAACTCTATCTGATGATTAAATGGATCTTACTAACCACAAGGAGCAATATAACTATCAACATTTAGTTGAGCATTTCTATTCATTAAAATAATAATATTATAAATTCTTTAAATTTTATCAATGTCCACTTAAACTAGAACTTGGGTTGATGATGTCGAACTTAATATTTCTTAGTTGTCTGATTCCATTAGGACAAATGTGAAATAACCAATTTGTGATTTGGTAAATCAAATTCCTTTTAATGAATGGAAAAATACTTATTATCTTCCATTAAGCAATCAATATGAGAAATGGCCAGAAAGGTTTACTTAATTTAAATACAATAATATATTGAGTCTAGGAAATGAAAACTAAAGGCTAATTTTTCTTGGATTAAGCACATTAGCCATAGTATCCATTTCAAAAAGATGTACAATAAAAGTATAAAATTAATTTAGTTTCTTCTGGATTATTGCCAATCTTAAGAAATTCTGTTGTGACCTATTTTGGATTGGGATTGATTGTTGCCCCAGAAATCTATAATCCTTTGTTGGTGAATAAAAAGAATTGAAATATTGCATTAAAAAATATAAAACAAAATTATATCATAATCTTTTATCAATATATTTTTACGAGTTTTAGAACATTATTTATTCAATTGTATTTAGTAGGACTTTATTTAAAACTCTTAAAATATTCAATTATGTAAGGAAATATTTAGTTTTATATCATAAAATGAGCTTGATCAATTACTCTCCAACAAGTGTACATATATAATAATACATAACTAAATTTAACTTAATTATTAAATTAAAATTTTCATAATGAATTATCAAACCAAATTTTTACTTAAAAAAGGAGTGTTAGCATAGCCAAAATGTTTAAGAACTTAATCTATATTAAGTGATATTACCAATTATTAGTCACAAAACGATTAAAACATAAAAAATAAAAGAAGGAATGCCATTGTACCTGTAATTTGTTAAGTTGATGAAAAAATTGATAGAAAATTGTGCTCAAAACCAACTAACGAATACCAATATGAGGATAAATATATATATGATGAAGAAATATAAGAAAAGGAATATAAAGAAGATATAAATGTAAATACTTTTCTATAACAAGTACAAGAGAATAAACCATCTAGACTTTCATAATTTTAATTAAGATTAGCTTCAATAGTTAATAGATTGGATGATAACAAATGTCAAACGTTATTAAAAAATGAGCTATTAAACCCTGTTTCATTGTGTTGAATTACTAGATACTTTTTTATGCAATACTAAAGGATTCATAGCTGACGATCTATAACTTATTGGTAGTTGTTGTATCTATCTATCATCAAAATTTCATGATATATACCCTATTTGTGTTGAAGATATTATAATTGATGTACTTAAAATTAATAAATTAGATTTGTTAAGAAAACTATACTATTCATGAATTTTTATCAATGGAATACACAATATGTAGAAAACTGCAATATAATATGTATTTTCAAACACCTTTTGAATATTTTGAAAAAATATTTTTCCATCTTAAACCTTTTTTGTCATAATTTTATTAAGATTGCGAAATAAAGTATATGAAACAAAATGCTTTAGAGCTTCTCTAATATTCCATTATTGCTTATGAGTTTCGAAATATTACTCATTATAATAAAGCAATAGCTTGTATCTATGAAGTCATCAAAATGTCTGATAAAATACTTGTATTTTTTATTTTATTTAATTAGACCTAAAACTTATTAGAACTGTTAAATCATTTAGAACTAAATTTCAATTGCATTCAACTCAATGCTGCAGATATTAAAAAATACCAGAATTTGAATAAAGAACGCTATCAATGTGTAAATAATTACTTTTATTGATATTTTAATTATTTAATGCTTATTGTTAAAGGTGGTCCTCCTTAAAAAATAGGAAAGACTTAATCTGTTCATAATCTGCCTTAAGAATCTCATTTAATAGTAAGAATAAACAATTCTAATTTAGAAACTTAATCCAATTCTTACCCTAAAAACTGAAGGATGTTTTGATGGCACTTTGAATCAAATTTATAATAGTGTTGGTGATACAGAATATGTTCATGGAAGAATATTTAAGCAATTGATATTATTTGTTGATACAAAATTTAGTGAATTGACTGAAAAAATAGATAACTTTGATAATTTATCTGACATCAATACTCATTTATTAAGGATATAGTCTTCTTAAGTAAGCCCAATCATGAAACAGAGAAATGATGACAGTCCAAACGATATCGTTAGGAATAAAAGTTCTGGATCATTATTACAATAAGATAACACTAGCTTAAGTGACAAGGGGAAAAACTCTCCAAGTAGGAAAGCTCTTCAAAGAAATAGCTTATCGCAATCAAATGTAATGGATATAAATCGCTTAAATTAATTTGAAAAGAAAATTAGATAAACAGAAGATAAATAAATTAAATTTGAGTAAGACCAATAGGACAAGTTTTAAGGTTTTTAAAATAGAATTGAAAAACTAATTAGATCAATATAGGAGAAATAATAGTCCCTATAGTTTTCAGATTTATATCGAGGTATTTAGGAGTTTTCAGAAAATTAAAAATAAATAGTTTCCTTTATTTCAACTTCTTAAAATGAAATGATGTAAAAATATTATATTTCTATAGCGAAATTAATAAAAAGTTACTTTCAACATCAAAGGAGTACTAAGAGTAGATGAATTTTGTTAAGAATTCCTAAGAATAAAATACATAAGCATATTCAGCCTGTAATGAAAAGATTGAAACATTATCAACTAGCATACAATAAATTGATTAAGACTTACTAATAATCTTAAAATGTTATAAGGATGTGTTGAATGACGTTTTTAGAATTGAAATATTGGAATAACAACAAAAGAGAATTTTAAATATCCTTAATAATTATCACTGAATTACATTATTTATATTGAAAAAAAATATATTTATTCGTTGACTTCTTAGATTTATTGAGAAAGCAAGGAGATAATTATTGTATAACTTCATACTTTCATTCATAATAGTGCTAAATTAACTTTATCCTAAATTTCGCCATTAGATGTTAAAGTGATAATAGTTTTACTATTAGACACAGAAATAGTTTATAATTATAATTAAATTTGCTTTTGACAAAATAAAATTAATAATGTGCCTTTCCTATTCTGAGCATCTTTAATCATAATCAATAATGTTATAATTTTAATATGAGAATTGCAGAGTGTAATTTTCAAATTGAAAATATTATATAATACACTACCCAAAAGTTTCAAATATTGTATATCTACTTTTAATTAAGTAAGTGTGACATAACGGGCTTTAGTATGGGTAAAATCATTAAAATCAAGTTTAAAAATCAAAAAATAAAACCTAAGTTAAAATAACTCCTTATATTTTCTGAAAATTCACTAATTACATTCTTGTGGCGCAATAATACAGGTCTATTTCTAATTATAATAAAGGAAATTAACAAGATATAAATTAAATATATGCTGTCATAAGGGAATCAAATAGCAAAGGATATTAAAAAACTCACATTGTTTTGGGATACAAATAAATAGTTACTTCAATTTTATAAAATATTAGGAATCACATGCAAAAATCAATTAAATATTCATCACTAAGGGATGCTTATTGTAGTTTTAGTTTACTGTTTTATTAAGAAAATGAGCCAGGCCAATATTGAGTGGAAGAGACTATTTTTGGTAAAAATCCAAGTCCTTTATAACATTTTGCAACTAGTTCTGAACAAAAATAAGTTCTATTTTTTTATTCTTCTGTTTTTGGTTGTTCATCCGCAAACAGAATGGATTTTTACATTAATAATTTAGAAGGCGTGCATGAATACTTTTTTCCTAAGTTTTCATTTACAAAATCAGAGAGTTTGACTTTAAATTCAATTGATCTATTAGTTTTTAGTTTTCTATAAACGACCCTATAAAGCAGATAATTAAGTTCTATACTTTTCATACATAGAATACCATTTTCTAATATTAAAAGTGCTCCATCTACACAATGCAACACCACTTGATGGCAAAGCCTCAAATATAAATAATTCATTATTATCCATTTTAAGAAGTAAACCGACGTGGTCAAAATCGTCTTATGTAAATGCTCTTTGTACATAACAATTAATATCCTTTCCTCTAAATAAGATGATGTCACCATCTTCTGCGTCTTCCTCTAACTATTAGGCTGAAATTCTTTCATGCTTTGATAATTTAACATTAGATACCCTCCAATATCTTTCATATTTACATAGAGATGTAAGTTAATTCATAAAACCAATTGAATCTTGCAAATGTATTTTTATGGTGTTGAACCATTTTGTGGTTTCCATAGGAGTTGTTCCTTTAAATTGGAAGATTTTATCAATTTTCCCAACCGGCTTGATTCTAGATAAACTAAGCTGAAGAATAGTACATGAATTCAATTATGTTTCCTTGCTTATCCTTGATCTCAATAAGTTAATATGTTTAAACATCAAAATTTAAAACACCCTCTAATTTTTTATGTTCCATTGAGAAATACCTAAATATCCGATTAACAATTGAACATTATCTCTCCTTATAACCTTGAACCCAATGAGGACTTTTTTTATGTAAAACACCAAAATATGGCGATATTCTATTCCTTATACTGGTTGTCACATTTGCATTAAACACATCATCATGTTTATCAGAAGTTTGAATAGGATATAACAACAATGAAACGTGCTGATTTGTATTATCATCAGGAACTTTTTAGGTTTAAGTTTAAGTCAGTGAAATTGATTGTCTGTATTCCTTCTCATGGTAACTATCCATAATCGCTTGTTAGACTAGCTAGACGTTACAGATTATATTATTTCTTTATTGTTGATGATCTTCGATGCCAGTTATTGAATCCATTTGATAATATAATATTAAATTTTTTCTTAATCTCAATTTAATTAGAGCCTTTCTCTAAGATATTCCTTAAGAGTGACAATCTTGTCTTAGATGTGGTCTGAGATTCTGGAAATCAAATCTTGTAATTGTACTCTTGCTTAGGTTTCCATTTAATAAATGTCTTATTATTATCTGCACCATTGATCTTGGCCTTCTAAGTTAGACTTTTTAATTATATGAAATTGGTATACTTAATTTCTCTCTACTTCGGCAGCATGATATTCCACTTTGCCTTATGATTCCTCAACAATGCTCTAATAATTCAAGATGGCTTATTCAAGATTTTATCTTTAATCAGACCTAAAATTGGATTAATACAATAACATACAAGGTGTTTCTCTCGTTAGTTAAGTCAGACAAAAATTATTACCAATTCAAACTTTGTTGTTTTTCAATGTCTTCATCACTTGATTTACTTTCAACTATCTAAACCCTCAAATTGGACAACAATTACAAGACTTTCTTAGCTGTATCAGAATCAGATTTAGCTGATAATTAAGTCATCATTGTAAGGATTGGTTAGAATAGCAACCCACTTGAAGTTGATTAACTAAAGAGGGAAAGGCTAATATTTACCTCTATAATCTGGACAACACCTTATTGAATCTTCCTTTTACTTAAATGAATGAAGATCCTCCAGATAGATGTTCAATCAATGCATAAGCTTCATCAATAGCAGCAATTGCTTCAGTGTGATCTTTAATTTTTGACTAAAATTCAGCATATTGCAAGTCTCTTTCGCTTTATCCAGCATTAGTTTTCTTTGAATTCTCCTCAATCTCAACAGAGACTTCTGCAATTTTGTTAAGGGATCTTTACAAATTATTGGTATTCTCATCAACAATTTTAGTATGTGCTTTCAATTAACTTTGATGATATGCTAAGTTAGTTGAAAAGTCATGGAGCAATCTGTTACATGAAGCTTATGTATTTTGGATGTAAAGATCTGAGTCTTTTTGCTCTTGTTCTAACATGAATCTAAGTATAACATCCTTCATACCTAATATTATTGATATAACTTTAGATTTCATGTACAGGTGAGCCTGTGGCAAGACTAATTTAAATGGCATTCAAGAAAGTTTTTCCCATGTGATTACCATCTATTTCTGCAAGCACAACTTTTGGATCTGCAGCCATTTTGCTTAAAGCCTAAATCATATTCGGTTAAAATACTAAGCTAATCAACAGCACTAGCACAATTCTCATATTTATATATAATAAATAAAAAAACGAATTATATCAACATCCAATAAATTTAATAATATTTCTCGTAACTTGGATGCAATAATAAAAGTCCAAAATACTTATAAGTTCATCTTTCATTAATCCTGTCTATACAGTATAGTCAGAAGAGTAAGAATCCAAAATAATAGATTTTGAACAGTAGAATTTAGATATTTACAAATTTCAGGGGATTATGAGAGAATAAAGAGGTAAGATAATATTAATATTATATCATTCGATATTTTAGAATGGCTTGAGAGATTCGAATTGATATTAAATTGTTTATTTTTGAGCTAAGAATTAGTTGAACGTGAAATGAGTTTAATCTATGATAAATAGACCTAAATTTAAATAGAGAACCTGATAAAATAATTAAATGATGATTAGTGGATCCATTCATTTCATGACAAAACAATTAAATAATAAATATAGAAAAATCAAAATTATAAAATAAACTAATATAATAAATAGATATATCAATTTGGAATTTGGTTACAAAATAAAAAAAACACATTCAAATTTGTTATGACAATTCTTGCATTTTAACAATTAATGGAGATGTAGGTTTTTCTTCTATAGTTGGTAAAGATATGAAATCTTCATTTCTTTACTTAACTGACTCATCCTCACTTGCCTCGCTGAAAGATTTCTCATAAATTTCTTATAAGGTTTCAGTTTTAATTTATTTTTTTTCTTGAGTGATCTTTTCTTTACGATTTTCGTAATCATATATGAACCAACGTTTGAAATAGTGCTCATCCATATATTTGATAATTTTCTAGGCTTCACTTAACTCTTTCTTTTTTGGAGAGTCAGAAAGAACAGGAGTGGGAACTTCGCTAATTGATTTACGTTCTTCCTCATCCAACTGTTTCTTAATTTAAATATTAATGAAAAAAGGCATGGCTGTGCCAAAAATCACAGTGGTGATTACAACGATATAGAGTACACAACTTTATAGTATATTAATCTAGTTAATTTATATACCATCGGTAGGTGAGGCAACAAGAGTTTCAATCAAAGCAAAGGCAACACTTCCTCTAACCATTCCAGCAAAACAGCAAATACTCATTTCATATTTAGTTAGTTTCCATACTTTAGGTCCTTGAATACTAAAATATAGAGAGTATATTTTACATTATAGAAATCCAGTATACAATATAAATGCTTAAATATCGAGCAAGAATTACTATGCCTAGTTATAGAAGAGTGAAGACCCATGAGACTTCTACGTAATAAAGGTCTTGTGTGAGTGGGCTGTAATAAGTAGTTTGATTCCACATTGCGAATCCCAAAAAAACATAAAGAAATGCTTCTGCCCCTAGTGATAAGGATTCAAAAGTAACTCTTGTAGTAACTCTACCCAACTAACTAATATTATATCCTTAATAATGACTCATCATGATTCCTATCATCAGCAGACTAATCACTCCACTTAGATTGAGCATCTCACAAATCGAATAACCCATGTAGGCCATTAAAAATGCAAAAACTGTTTCTGTAGTGGTAGAGTTTGTCAAAAATCTGCATTTCTTAAAACACCAAGTGGAAAACAAACCGACGAAAAGACCAATCAATAAGGAAATTATACAGTTTTCTAAGAATCGGCCAATGAATTCAAAAGGGGTGTACCATTCAAATGATTTGCCACTTTATTACAATATGGTTACTGCTTAAAAAATAATGATAGAAACTGCATCATTAACCATGCCTTCTCCAAAAACCACACTAAATAATTTCGGATATTATTGAGATGGAATTAAATTGAGAGCAGCCACTGAATCTGTTGCACATATAGTTGCACTATATTTGATCATCTCGTCATAACTTAAAGGAAGATGGGAATCTAAATTTGTGCCTAATCTGACCAATTCTATATTAATAATTCGCAAATTCTTACTCCACGAATTGAATGCTATAGTCAGAGTCAATGTGATTATAAAGTTAATTAATGTGCTCAGAAACCCAAAAGAAACAATGTATTTGAAATTCTTAAGGAATTATTTCTTTTTGAGGTTGTACCCTCCAGAAAAAATGATTAGTGGTAAAAGCAAATAGAAAAAGATTGTAGCATTCAACGAAAACTAGATAATCAGATTTTAATACAAATTATGCATATGCGTTTTCATCCATCCATTTTAATAGTAGACCTACAAGCATCCCGATGATTATGCCAAAACTTGTTTCATGGATTAAATGGAACTAAGCAATCACGACTGCATGCATACGTGAATAGATTTGAAGTATTCTCCAATGACAATGTAAATCACGATGACTATCATGAGTGCAAATGGTACTGCTCCATACTCTGACATTAATTTAATTATTTTATTTTTACTCAATTCCTCTTAAACCTTCTTGTTTTTAATCATTCTATATCCCTTTAATTGAACAATTTGAATGATAATTGTCATTAATACAGAGTCATATTTGTTGATATTTTTACTAAATTAGATATAACTTAACTATAAATACAGTATCTTAATGTAGAGTCTAACTTTGTTTATTCAATAATCCTATCGATTGGATTTTGATTATTTTCTAACAACATTTTTTATGAAAAGAGTAAATCTTATTGATTGTTATTTAATCTGTTGACATTATAAAATTAATTATCTTGTTGATTTATTTTTAATATTTGTTTTAAAATAATTTACAATGAAAATGGTCGAAATATAAAACTGCTTCCTTTCTGAAAACAATTACAAAATGGCCAATCTTTTAAAAAATAAAATCTTAGAGAATGATAGGTAACGAAAATGTAATAAAATAAGAGAAACAATCCATTTGACGGTTTAGACTGTCTGTGAAATTTTAACTAACACAATCTCATAACCCATGCAAAAAGTCTTGTCAATAAGAGTAAAAAAACCAGAGTATTCAGTTAGTCAAAGAAATGATGGATTACCACATTTAGATAGTAATTACTAAGGTCTCTATTCACATCATTCCAATCTTCCAATAAATATTATAACAATATTTTGAAAAGGGAATTAATGCAAAACAATACTTTTCCAATAAACCAGGTAGGAATAGTAATATTATATTTAGACGAGCAGCTCATGGTTCTTGGAAAAACGTTCATTAGACTGATATGTGAATGTATATTTGTTTGGAATATTTGGCACCCAATTTTAGAAGGTCAATAATCATCATTTTAAAGAATGTACTAATTAATTAATTAAAAGATATAATCAATTAATTGCATAGGGATTTGAATTTCCTAAGTTATTTTACTTTGATTAATAGAAAGTCAAAGAATATTATAAATAGTCCAAAGACAATCTTTTGACTTAGGCATCACCTCATGAGAAAAATGAAAATGACCCAAACGATTTTTATTGCATCAAATAAAAATTGGATAAAAATCAATTTGTTATAGGAGACTTATAGATAATTAGAAACTCAGTTCTTTGTAAGAAATTCAAATTATATTAAGCACTTCAAAATTGCAATTTAAATCTAAATTAACAAAAGTTCTTAAAGAATTTTGAGACGGCCTATCAAGAGTATGAGAAAACCAAAAGATATGATGAATTCATCATCACAATACAATCTATGTAAATTTCATTTAAATTAAAGTTGCCTAGAATTCGATGATGAGACGGAAGACAAGTCAGCAATTTTTGATACTTTTTAAGTGAGATGTCAATCTAATTTTACAGGTTTTTGTCCTTCTAAACACAAAGTTGGAGGCTATTCTACTGATAAAATTAGTTAATTCCACTCTAATAACACTCTAATAGTATGATTAAATTGTTTATTTAGTCGAAAAACTCCACTCCCAACGAAAAATAAAAATAATTAGAATTTTTGAATGAGAAAAACAGGAGGATTGAGCAACTATTAATAGAAAATTCGATATTTGCCAAGTAGATTCAATTCTTTCAAGAGTAAATCAATAATCTCAAACAAAATACTGAACCGATTGATGGGTGATTAAGAATTTTTAGTTTCAAGGTTATATTAATTTGATATAATATTTTATATGATTTAATAAACTAAAGAATATTTACATTAATAGAACAAAAGGCTTATAGAAGATAATTAAAAATTAGAATTGGTTGTTCAATGTCTCAATAGGCAAATTTCAAATTTGACCTAGTTTATTGATAAATCAAAAAAACTTCAAGAAACTGTTAACAAGCTCAATTAAGAGCTGACTAACCTCAAAAGAGATAATTTCTATTTGCAAGAAACTCTGTCGGCATTCAAATTAAAGCATAGTTAGGAGAATGTATAAAATTTTGAGGATTAACAGTAAAAAATAATTGAAAATGTGAAACAACATTACGAGGAGGAGTTGAATAATTTGAAGTAGGAAAATTCAAAATTGCATGCAATTATTCAAGAATTGAATACAAAATAAACAACTGCGCTTTAGGTTTCTGCAACAAAGTTGGTAGAGATTGGAAATAAAATTGATAAAAAATTAGGTGAGAAAAATCATCGCAGAATTTTGAGCAATCCAACTCTTCAATCACCTAAAGGAATGTCACAAGAAATATATTAAAATTTGATATAATAGCTCACAAATCAGACAGAAGAGAAATCTATTTTAACTTCCATGTATTCTTGATTATTACTTAGTAGATCGAAAACTAAGCTTTAGGATTCTGGTCTTTTTACAAAGTCCTAACCAAAAATAATCCCGCATCTTGGGGTAAACAGCAATTAATTTGAATAATTGTTACCAAACCTTGTAAACGTTATCAAAAAATGATTATAATTAATGTTATCTACATCTGCATCGTCGGTTTCATATAGACAAAAAGGAAAGCTGCCTTCCGCTAATAGCAAACTCTATAAAGGATTTGTTCATGATGCCACTAGCAAATTGTCGGTCGGATCAATACCTGCAAAATTGGAACTCATAATATATAGAGATCAAAGCACGAAAGCATTTGGATCCAGTGAACCAAGATTTAAATAATAATTACCTGATAATCCAGGGCCTTAAGAATACGATTCTAGTTTATATTAGTTCGGTAAAGTTCAATCAGAATCCATTTCCAATAAAGGCACTGGAGGATTAGCTTGTTCTTAAGAGAGAAATGTATTTGCCCCTAAATATGTCAATTCAGGACCTGGACCTGGATAATATAACTCAAATCATAGCTTTAATTCTTCATAATCAACTAACAACCCTTCATTTTTTATGAGATAATAATAATAAAAGAGCGTTGAAAAGGTTGAAGTGATCAACCCTGGACCAGGAGAGTATAATTATGCTAATAAATTAGATATGATATGCCACAACCAAAGAAGTCGAACGTAGTTAAATATGTGTTCTCATCAAAAACATTAAGAGGTTAATTCTAGAATAAGCCAGATAATCCTCCTCCTGGTTAATATGAAGTGTAGAATTAATTATCAAAGCCTGAACACAAAGGACCTACATCAAGTAACTATTGCAATTAATTAGGTTTTTATCCTGACGGAGCTTAATTACGAGAGATAACACCATAATAATAAATTGTAGCCATGATGCTGAATGATAAAGATAAATAGAATGATAGAATATTGCCAGGACCTGGCGATTATGAAGTTAAGTTCCCAGTTTTTGATCCAGATTATATAGTAAAGAAAGAATTGTCATCTTTTGCAATTCAACCTGGAAAAGATCGCTTCGGAAAATAAGAAAGGGAATAAGATCCAGAAAAAATTGGGCCAGGTAATTATAAATATAATCAATTAAAAAGGATCTTATTAATTACCTAGCAAATTTGATGAAATAGCAAAGGACAAATTATTAGTGTCAGGTAATGTGTTCATGTCGGAGAGTTTGAGATAACCATATGGTGATTTTGAGAAAAAACTAGGGCCAAATCCCAAAAGTCCCTATATATTGCCAAAGAAAAAGAATTTTCACTTCAATTTGTAAAGAAAGTGGGTGTGACTATTTTGGTTTTTTTAATCCATAACATATATATATTTATTAAGTAGAGAATTTTAATACTAATTATAAATAATCTAGGATGACCTTATATTATTCTTTTTATATTCATCTTTGAATGTTGTGTATATTTCTACATCTAGCCTTTTGTGATTCTTCTATTGAATGTTTTTTGCCTGAATTTACAATTTATATTAATTAATTTTTTCTTAATTAATGCAAGCTCCAAATCTAACGAAATTGCCGAGCTAGCAAAAAGTTCCTAAATATCGGCCTGTAGATTATAAAATATAATTTAGTCAATCAACATAGACAATCTGATTGCAATATGTACAGGGAAACTCAAGAACTGTCCAAATCACAAGAAAGCCCTTTACATTCGAGCATCCGCCTATATTAAAAAAGGGGAGTACGAAATTGCAATTTAAGATTGTAATAAACTCTTAGAGTCAGACGGTGATAATGTTGGAGGATATTATTTGAGAGGTATTCAAATCTAACAAATTAAGGATGTGCCAATGAAAAATTAGGATAAACTGATCTTGCAATAGATGACTTTTCCAAAGTATTACTTTTAGATGAGAACCATGTCAATGCGGCATTTGCTCGTGCTTCCTGTCTTAATCTAAAGGGAGATTTCGCAGGAGCCATAGAAGACTATACTCGAGCCTTGGAGAAAGATAATGCAAAATCTCTTAATCTTTCTAATTCCATAAATAAACGATCGTTACTTAGAAATAGTTCAATGAAAAAAGATGATACCTATCCTAAAACTGAAGCATTTTAGTATAAAACCAAAACAAACAAATATTAACAGCCTGAAGAGGATGATCTCATGAACCCACAAAATGATGAGGAATACTTACAAAATGATTAATCCTAGATTTAAAATTAACCATAATAGAATAGTTTTATGAGTCAAAATCCTCTCTACACAAGCATTGATGCTAATGAACTTCATATTTAGCGTCCTTCCTAAATAATTGATAAAGAAATTTCTCAGCCCGTGCAATAACAATTAATATCTATGATTCCAGATCATATCAAATAAGATAATAAGAAGATATCAGATTGGTTCCATCAGCAAGGATTTGAGGCTAGAAAAAAAGAAGATTTCATTAAAGCTATTGAATTTTATACAATGGCTCTAATGTTTAATTCTAACCATTTTAAATCCATATTTAATAGAGGTATGAAGTTATTTATTAATCTCTCAAGGTTTCGCATTCGATAAGCTAAGAATGTATAACGATGCAATTAATGATTATACTAAAGCAGTAGAAATGGATCCAAAAAATGCATACGCTTACTACAATAGAGGGATTTCCTATGATAAAAAAGGGGATTACAATTTGGCTATTAAGGATTTCGCCAAGGCTATTGAACTAGATCCATCCAAAGCAGATTTTTATCATAATAAGGGTTTTGCAATGAAGAAAAAAAATTTGATAAAAGAGGCTATCTTAGAATTTAACGAATGTTTAAGATTAGACAAAAACCATTTTAAGGCTTATTATAACAGAGCTAATTGTTATGAGAAGCTAGGAGAATTTGATAAAGCACAACAAGATTATCTAATTGCTAATAATGTTGTGCCTAACAATCCGAATACTTTAACTCATATTGGAATTTTGATGGATCGATAATAGAAACTGGAGGATGCTTTAAAATACTTCAACTCGTAATCTTATAATTTAATTTTTTTTAGCTCTTTAAAGATTGATTCCAACTATGCACCAGCCTATAATGGGAGAGGCTTAGTTTATGATAAAATTGGAGAGTATGAGAAGGCTTGCATAGACTTTAACAAAGCTATTGATATAGAACCACAAAATCCTGTTTATATTCATAATCGAGGATGTTGCAAGAGAAGCATGAATAAATTTGAATAGGCTCTAGAAGATTTTAAGAAAGCCTTATCTTTGGATTCTAAGAATCCCATCATCTATTCAAATATGGGTTTAGTGCTTAGAAAAATGGAGGATTTTGAGACTGCTGCATATTGCTACTCTCAAGAATTGATTTATTCATCAGAAAACACAAGGACTCTTAATAATAGAGGATATTGTCTCGCTAAATTAGGCCAATTTGAAGAAGCTATCAGCGATTATTCAAGAGCTATTAGTCTAGATCCAATTAACATTCATGCGATCTATAATAGAGGAATTTGTAATGAAAGGATTGGAGAGTTTCACAAAGTAATTTAATGTTAAACTTTATAGGCTATTGAAGATTTCACTTAAGTAATCCATTTACAGAATGATTAAGGTGCTAATGCTTACTTTAATAGAGGATGCTGTTATGATAAGTATTTATTTGTTCAATTCTATTAGTATTGGGGAGATGGATCTTGCCATAGCTGACTATTCAAAAGCATTGGAAATAGATAATAAAACCAATAAAGCCCCTTGATAGTTATACTAATTATTTACTATCTTAGTTTATCACAAATATTTTTGAATATAATAATATTTTCTAATTATTTTAATGAATAGGTAGAGAAAACTAACCAATTTCGAAGAATTTAGACAAGATTACTTTGATGTTATTGCTGATGATAGAGCAAAACTATTTAACTTCTTTTTTGAATACAACAGACAATTTGGATTCATCAACAATGATGATTATTTATAATGCACAGCTGCTTATCTCAATTACAGAGCAAGAACTAGTTTAGCATTATTTGGAAGCCCTTTGGTAGTTTTTATTGCCAATAAAACCCTCTTCAGAAATTTTGAAAGAATTCCTGTATTTAGGCCAGCAGTCTTTTCCTTTAAGTACATAGGAATACCATTAATGTCTTTTTATATTACTAGTAAATACTTTTGCTAGGATACTGAAAAATTATTTTATGAAATGGCTGAAAAATATCAATTTGGTTTTTATCAATACAATTAAGCTATGGATCTTTTAGAAAGAGCACATAAAGCAAATAGATTAGATGAATTTATGGAGAAAGGAACATAATTTGATTGGACAGGAATACCAGAATTAAAAAAATATTGATAATTTATTATAATATAAATATAATTCCTTTAAAATTTTTTAAAGAAATTTTAGTTGATCAATAACAATTTTTGAATTAAAAATATGAAGTAATTACTAAAATATTCTAATTTATTTAAACTTGTTTTTCTGAAAGTGGTTAAATAAATGTGATAATTTTAAGTCAAAATTTAATCATAATTTATTACTACAGTAATTCCAATGTTTGACAAAATCTCATAAAGATTATCAATAAATATATAAAGATTTTTGTATTCTAACATTTCTTATAGTCCTTACATCTAAATAATTTACAGTTGCTATAGTTTGGAAAATTTCATTTAGAAATGTAAACAAACTTGGTGATACTAGATTAAATTAATTTATTTAAATTATCTACAGTCATTTGCCTTGTGAATTTGCCAAGTACCTGAATTATTCTTAATGGAATCCTTTATTGATAACTACATTAAAAAAATAGTTTGAAATTATATTCGAAACTCTTAGTTATATTTTTAACATAAATATTAAATAATTACCAAAGTGAAAAATATCAGTGTTTTTATTTTTATCCACATGATATATTAAAAAACACAAAAGAATACAAAAATATGATAAGTTGGATGTGATAATGATTTTAAATTTTTGTATATTAAATTAGCTGTTCAAAATTAGTTTATTTATAAATATATGTAAATTATTTCAAAGTTGACATCTTACTTTGTAGCAATAGGGACTAATACTGAGAGAAGAACAAAAAATATTGACTATGGTAACATGGCAAAGATTTTATATTATTTCATTTAACTAATTGGATATATTTATAGCCAGTTTGAACGCAAGGCAATATAATATTATGAAAATGACTTTTTAGCTTAAGTAAGTTAATAATCGTCGATTCCATTCATGCTTATAATCATTCATTATGATCCCTTGACAATTTTTGTCTACTTCTGTGTATTTATTGTGATGCTGGGCACATTTTTAATTGCATTATTTCAAATCATTTTAAAAGTAAAATCTTTATAATATTTTTATAGCCTCTGCCGTCATCATCACCTATTAATAGATTTGTTAAATTTTACTTTTAGAATTTTTAATGGTTTTTCTTGACTCCTTTTAATGAATGCATGATAGGTATTATTACATGCGGAAAATAATCATACTTAATATAGCATTCAGAAATAGAACCATCAGAATGTTTATTTCAAATATCTACAAATTATGTAGTAATTAGCTTCCTAGGTGTTATTTTGGTATCTATATCAGGAATAGTGTCTGTTTTTTATTTTAGAAACTATGATTTTTTGTAGGCAGGATTATTAAGAAAGTTTTCTCATATCAATTTTATAACTATATTCTTACACCAACTCTTAATTATTTTATCGTTTTGGAAGTAAATGTATCAAAATGAATATGTGATTATCTATTCATGTTACTTCTTAATAATGTTTTGTTTGTTGTTTGATGTTTTTACATAGTTGCCTTTTGGATTCACTACTGAAACAATATTTTATTCATAGATTTTAATAACTTCAATCTTTTTTGGAATATTGATAGCATATTGGATGTTTTCAGATTCAGACGATGGGATTATTTTCTTAACTAGCTGCATTATGATTCCGGTATTTAAAAATTCTAATTTTAGTTAATATTTACTTTGAGTTAGGCTTATTTTTAACATCAATTTGATGAGGAGAGTTTGAGATTTTGTTCAAATGTTGGTTAAACTATGAGTGAGTTTACTTTGGAATATTTTGTCTTAATATCTCATCCGATAACTATGACAAAGCAAAGTTATTTTCAATTCATTAGATATTTAAATCTTCATTGCTAAACTTGCAATGACATCCACTGTCCTTGTAAAAAATAATTGAGAACCTTTATATCATCAAATTAAACTTTGGATAGTGAGCCTCTTTACATCTGGGTGCAATATCAATTTTAAAAATTAATAGCTATTTCAATGAACAAGGAATGGCCTGTTGCGATTTTTGAACAATTGACTATTAAGTTTGTTACATTCTTAAAGAAATATCGTAGTAATTAATACTTGTCATTTAAAAACATCTAGGATGTTGTCATAAGCTATAAAAAGTAAAAGAAAAATTCTTCTAGTTCCTTATAATTTTTCATTCATTTGACAAGATAAATCTAATTAGATAGTAAATTAGACATAGAATAATAAAATCGAAATCAACATTAGCTTAGTAAAAATGAATTTAAATCTATAATCGATTTAAATTTATTTTTTTTTTATGAAATTCAGTTTATGTAAAATATCATGATGGCTCTTAATTTATAAAAGGAATTGTGGATTTGTTACATAAATGGAAACATAAAAAATTATGATGACTTGATGGTCTAATTAAAAAAGATATCATCTCAGCTTTCTTTAGTGCAACAAGATATTAATTATTTCATTTCCTAAAGAGAGGATCGAAAATACGAAAACATTTTAATTATAAGATTGTAACTATTAATTTCAATTGTTTGTTTAGATGATCTAAATAAATAACTGTCCCTTGCTAAGAAATTATAGATTATGGAAGAAGAATAATTAGCTTAATCATCCCATTAATTTCATATTTTAAATTATGTAAGTGGTGCAGCTATAACTATACAATAATTAGTTTCATTTGAGGATTTTGATATCAAAAGCATTCGAATTAAAGAAAGTTAGAAAAAGTTTTTTGGATACGAACATCTAGATGAAACGCCAAAATTAGCTGATTTGATTCCGTAGAACATTAGATCAATCCATAAAGGATTAATTGATAATTTTTTGTTTCTTGGTCGTAGTTCTAAAATGTATTCTAGTTAAGATACTTTTATTATAAACAAGAATTAATATATTGAGAAAGTGTCAATGAGTTTGACAGTGTTATTTCCGATTTAAGGTAGTGATTACTAATTTTATGTATTTGCTCATTTATTAAAGAAATCAGGGTATCAAAAAAATAGCCAAACCATGAATGAGTAGGGATATATGTTAATTGATAAGAATTTCAATATTTTTGGTATGAGTCAAAGTATTCAAAACAAAATAAACTAATTGTCAAATAGTGAAATCAAATTTTGCTAAATCTATGATAAGTTTTCTGTTTTTCACATTTTTCCAGAACTCATAATAAAATTACAGGAGCATTTCACAGAGAGGTAAATAAAAAACATTAGATTATAAGATGAAGATGTAATAATTTAGAAAAATACAATGAATTTTATTCTTCCTAATTAGGATATCTTAGTAAATGCCTTAAATCAAAAAATAAAAAATAAAATTGATTTTGACATTAAAAATAGACATTTGTTAAATGATCTCATAGAATTTGAGAAGCAGTTTGCTTTATCTTAAAACGCATCTTATTCTTTTCAAGTAGAACTTACATTGATTTCCAAAATATTGTATCCATAAATTAACAGTATATAAAAAGATTTCTTATACTTTATAGTCGATCTTCAATTTGACTTTGATTAAAAACCAAGTAAATGCACTTTTTAAAAGCTTCCGTCTGACTCAGATGATAATTTGTACAAGCACACTTCTCATTAAAAGATCCATAATTAAACATAAATTTAATCATAATTAGCAATTTAATCATTTGAAACTGAGAATAGAGAGTTTCTTAACCATAAATAAATTAGAGGGTCCTCCACTACATCAGAAAAGAGAAGCAGTAATAATTTAAATTTCTAAATTACTTTTCTTCGATCAGTGATGACTAATTCTAAATTGCCATTTCAAATGTCAAACTTATAATGCTTTTTTTCGTTTTAAGTCTTATTAGTAATAGGTATAATAATTGCACTATTCATGTTGTTTGAAAGGAAATCCTCAATGTAATCAAATTGTATTTAGGTTATCACTTTAGATTTAGATTTTCTTGATGCATATTCTTAAATAATGAGTGGATCTAGACATGTAATATATTATAGAGATTTTTATTTATTGATAAATGACACTGCCTTATCAATTGACGATAAAGTCTTAAACTTTAGCAAATATAATAAACTATATACATCTTGGAATCACCTAAATCTCGGATTGAATAGATTAATAAACATTTATTAATAAAATAGTAAGGTCTTTTAATAAAACTCTGAAGACTCAATAAATATATACATTATTGATGCAAATCTGGAGAACAAAATAGCTTAATCTGTTTCTGAACTAACAACTTATTTTTAAATAATGTTTTAAATATTCTACTTATCCCAAAAATCCTAAAGTCAAAACATTTCGAATTATTTATCAGACTCGTTTGATCCCTACTAAACCTAAATCAGCAGGTCTTTGGTTTATTACAACTATTTTGATGTTGTTAAGATTTTCCAAATGAAAATTGATGCTTGTAAAAACTATAATGACTATATAAACCAATATTTGGACTCTGTTTCTAATTATTTGTTTTTTGGTTTCTACATAA